AGGAAAAATAATTACATCATAGAACACCCTCACGCTTCCTGCCGTCTGGCTGAAGGAACCCTGATCAGCATTGATTACTCCAACATCGTGGAGGATTGACTGTCAGCTTGCCCTGCTTCCACCTTTCCTCTCAGGGCTACTATAAGAGCCTGGCATATAAAACATGAATAGCAAGAAAGGTCTGAGAAGCTGCATCCGCTGCCAATTCTGTCTAGCCCCTAAACCCCACATATGAGCCTCGTGAAATCCCTAGCCTTCGCACCCCTGCTTGTCATGTTTCTGTCCAAACCCTCAACCGTCAACCCTAAACCCTAAACCCTAAACCAGATTAACCTTTTTTCCATCTGTTCCACGTGAAACATCGGCTGCCGTCTGTCGCACGTGTATCTTGGATGCTCTTCTAGGCCCAGATCGGAGCTGGTTCCTCATGTACCTGGGTATTCTGCTGGAATACCGACTTGACATAATTGTGCCACTCTTTCCATCTTAAAATGTGCCCATTTAGCCATGCCACTTTGTCACCTACCAACCAGACCCGCTTGAATTTGGCAAGTGTCACCTGTTCTGTCTCTGGACTGTTCTGTACCCAGAGTTTAACCTTTCTCCACTGACAGAGGATTTCCGCTTCAATCATCTCTTTGGTTGCTGCCTACATTTCTCCCGTGGGTTCTTCGTGCCATCCAGTGTTCTTCTGCATCTTTCCTTCCATATGGCCCATAGCGTGACCTTGCGCACCATCCCGAATGAGATTTTCTCTGATTGGCGGAAGTTTGGGTAGATTAGTCCAGAGGAGCAGTTGAAGGGGGTGCTCTGGGAGGGGAAACGAGAAAAGACTATCCCATAGTGCTGCTGCTCTGGCCGAATACTCTGTGGCTTCTTTACAGTTAATTACGCAGTGTATCACATCTTGCTGTTCTTGATCTGAGCAGACTGCACAGATATCAGAGCTGGTTGGATCGTTCTTTCTTCGTCTGACATGTAGCCACTGGTTAACCGGTAGGGCAACGCATGTTATGAGCCACTGCATGCTTCTGATTTTTATAGGTCTCGTTTTATATTTCTTCCATGGAATTTTTGCTATCTGGTCTGCCTCTGAACCAATTAACTTGCTCCATCTTCCTTTGATTGTTGGGTCTGGGTCCTTTGTCTTTAACATCATCTTGTAGCCCAGCTTAACTGTGTAATCATATATTGGAATTGGTGGTTTTGTCATTCTATTTCGGTCGGGGGGCCACGCCCCTTCGGAAGGATCAAACTCGAGGTCTTGAATTGCTGTCCCTGTTTGAAATATCTGTTTTGGCCAGAGACCTAATGTTCTTATTTTACGGAGTCTAAACGCATCAAGCACTACTCTTTCAGGGTTGATATTCTGAAGAACTAAGAAAACCTTTTTTTTTTTTCTTTTTTTTTTTTCAACAAAACAGGGCCTTATGGTCCTGGCTCCATATCCATTCTGGGGATTATCAGTCCGGTTCCTTTCCCCCGGCAATTCATAAAGTACAAGAGTTCACACACTAACGCCGAAGGACCCCTGAACAGCATTGATTGCTCCAACCATATGGAGGATTGACTGTCAGCTTGCCATCCCTCTAGGAATCCTCTCAGCTATTGCTAGTATTTGATTCCCTTTGCTGCCATATTGAATCTGTGAAAACAAGATTCCTCAAGGACGGACTACTGAATTCTTCCATTCCTTTGCATGCTGTCGTCCCCTGAATTCTTTGGTGATCTGTTCCATGTGAAACATCGGCTGCCGCTCGTGTATCTTGGACGCTCTTCTAGGCCCAGATTGGCGTTGGTTCCTCGTGCACCTGGGTATTCCGCTGAGAAACAGACTTGACCGAATTATGCCGCCACTGTTTCCATCTTAAAACCTGCCCATTCAGCCATGCCACTTTGCCACCTACCAACCAGACCCGTTTGAATTTGGCAAGTGTCACCTGTTCTGTCTCCGGACTGTTTCACATCCACAGTTTGACCTTCCTCCAATGACACAGGATTTCCGCTTCAATCATCTCTTTGGTTGCTGCCCACACTTTCTCCCGTGGATTCTTTGTGCCATCCAGAGTTCTGCTGCATTGCTCTTTCCATATTGCCCAGAGCGTGACCTTGCGTACCATACCGAACCAGATTTTCTTCGACTTGTCAAGGTTAGAGGGTAAGTTAGTCCGGAGGACCAGTTGAAGGGGGTGTTCTGGGAGGGCAGACGAGAATAGACTATCCCATAGGGCTGCTGCTCTTGCCCAATAATCTGTAGCTTCTTTGCAGTTAATCAGGCAGTGTATAAAATCTTCCTGTTCTTGGTCTGAGCAAACTGTGCAGAGATCCGCGTTGGTTGGATCGTTCTTTCTTCTTTTAACATGCAACCACTGGTTAACCGGTAGAGCAACGTACGTTATGAGCCACTGCATGCAGCTTCTTTTTTTTTTTTTTTTTTTTTTTT